TATTCCCCATGCAACGTAAGTGATGATTTATTATTTCTTTCTCTTCATTGCAAAGATTTCGTTTTTTACATGATAGTCATAAAACTATCTATATTCAGCCAGTTGGTAGTTTTAATCATCTACGGTAAAAATGAATTTTATTGTTTTTTTTCTGATTGAATTATTAATATGAAATTTTAGAGTTATACCACCCGATGTAATTATTGAATTTGTACGTATATTTTTTCCTGGATGCGAAGTTGAATTATTATCAACTATTGACTTTTCGAAATCTATGAAATATCGAGAAAATGATGGAATAAGACAATATCGAACAGGTAGCTTTTATAAATATTTGTCTCAAACGCGTCATAAACGTGATGCAAAACGAGAACTTTTATGTGTTGCTGTAACTATGGCTGATATTTGTATCAGCAAAATTTGGGATTGGGTTTATGGGCAAGCGCGAATAATAGATGGTGTTGGTGTTTATTCATTTGCACGTCTTGATCCATTATTTCCTGCATCACCACAAATATTACTCTCAACTCCATTAACTAATGAACATCGTATAATAATGCTTCGACGTTGTGTAAAAGTTCTTTTACATGAATTAAATCATTTATTCGGTCTAAAACATTGTATCTATTATATTTGTTTGATGAATGGTGCAAATAATGAAATTGAAATGGATCGACAACCTTTATATCTATGTCCTGTTTGTTTACGTAAACTCTATTCAACACTTCAATTTAATGTTCGAGATGTGTATGAAAATTTTATTGCTCTATGTGGAAAATACGGCCTTGAAGAAGAACGTATATGGTATCAAAAACGTGTAGATTGCATTCAAGATACTAACAAATAATTGAAAATAAGATAAAAAAAATTAAAACAAGAACGAAAAGGAGATTATCTATAGCATTCTTACTAATAAACTGTGATATGTAAAATATTCGTAAATTACTTTGAACTAAAATGACATTGAACATGATAAATTTTTAATAAAAAAAATCGATGATAAATACACATTGTAGCATCTAGTTTTTGGTAGAGATGAAAATGTTTATTCTACATTAAACTATTATGACTCGTAAAGCCATAGAGGTCATATATCACCTTAAATTCGGTTAGGTTCAAATTATGAGTCCATATCCAGAGCATGAAGAAAAATGTTAAGTCGAGTTTAGATATGATCTCATAGCCGGATCCGACCCAAAAACTAATAAGATTTCAACTTTTTAAAATATTTTTTTTTCTAACTGATAATTTATATGAAAGGATAGAAATAAATGTTTGAAAATCGTACTGTAACTGTGAAATTATCTGCAGGATCTCGATTAGTTTTGAACAGGCACCAGTCGCAATTCTTCGCGTCCGGATCCGATTATAACAAGTCTTAATTGTGCAGGACACTAATTCGATATATTACCTAGTGAAAATATCTAGTACAAGATACCCAACAAGGTATCCTGGTACTAATATGTTCGAGGAACTTAGTCAAGTATTCTACTGAAAATCGTCTCAATTCTCGGGTACCAGAAACAGGTACTTGGAAGCTTTCAAAATATCTCGTGTTATAAATGCTTTCATATACTAGTTTTGTCAAGACCCAGAAATATCTTAAAAACAAACATTTAGGTATTGTCAAGGAAGCACTCGAAAGTAGAGGTGTAAGTTGACGGGTCGAACAGTGACGGCGGCGCCTGATTTAAATCTGTATGCTCTTCAACGGAGACAGTTGTAAAAATAATTTTGTTTTTATGCTCACGGCGGCGACGATGGCTGAAAATTTCGAAACTGAATAACTCTTTAAATGATAAAAGATACCTGTTTATTTCAGTATCAGATCACTTTCAGTTTCAAAAGCCTAAATAGAATAACTATATTTCGCGCGTTAGTTTAATCAAGACAATACATGTAGGAAATATGGAGAGAAACAGTGAATTACTACTCAGTTTTGCTCGAAATCAAAAGATCCAGCGACTTGAAAGGAAGAGTAAGACAGACCTAATTTATGTATATCTCTACAAAGCATTAATCTTGATTCATGTCCGAGTTGTTGTATTAATTTTACAACTTTTGTTGTATAGCAGCTTGGAGAAAACAGAGAGAATATAAATACTTTTTTTCCGGTTTAACCTGCTGAGTTTCTATTACTCAATTGATTGTCAATAAGGAATTTTTGATATTGCTTGCGTCTCATGTGTCACTGAAAAAGCTAAATCTTTTTCGATTGAGAGTGCATTATGATGTATTTATTCAGACTCTCACTTATCGAAGCAAATTTTTCAATAAATTCGTTGAATATCTAATATTTTGTTTGTTTTTTTTGTGCATGTAACGCAAACAAATTATCGTTTTAATAGATTGAGTGGCTCGATTAGAGTAAAAAGACTTTTATTAAAATGATGTAAACTTATTATATGGGATAATAGATTCAGTTACAAATTAAACACACACCGTCAATATCAATAAAAGTGCAAAGCATTTCTATTTTTCTGGATACAGTATTAGTTTTTTCGAACATACAAACAACTGAAAAAGTTAAGAAGAACTTTCCTAATGCAAACATAAACGAAAATACAGTACCTAATAAAAGTATCCCCCCCCCCCTCCTGGAGCTCATATTGTGACTGAGATCCAAGGGGGAGGGATACTTTTGCCGGGTACTGGATAACAAATGTTAATCAATGCATGTAGATAGATTAGTAGAAAATACCTAAAGAGAAGGACAATATTCGTAGTAAACTGTAGACATGGAGCTTTTGTATTCAATTGCAGAATACTAAAAGAGAACCCATTCGAATATTATAATTTGAAAACCTTTACTTCATTAGAACTGCAGTCCATTGAGCATCGCCATTCGTAATCTTAAGTGTTTTACTGACTTCTGCATCGTATAGTATGAAGGTATTAAGATATTATGTTCCAAGTTTTAAACTTCTTCGTACAGTTGCTAATGAAGTTCTGCTACAAACGATGTATTCATGTCACCATCACTTAAGCATAGTCGACGACAGTGACACGTATTTAGATAGTATCAGAATTCAGTAGTCTTCCCGAATATGTGATCAACATATTTTTCAAAATTTCGATTGATCTGTTATTAGTTAAGCTCTTACTTCCGAAATCTGTTCCAAGTAAAAATGATACTATTTGATTGCCATAATTTGAGAATCAATGTAAAAAAAAAACTTTATTCAGCGTAGTTTCTGATCAGGCTAACATTTCATACTTACTAACTATCACCGTTCAGCTCGTGAAGCGAATTAAAGTTCCGCTGGAAAAAAGAATTCTAAGTTCATTTTTTATTTTGAAAATATCGCATATTTACTGATGCGAAATTGAACTATGAACAAAAAAGTGTTCGTCTTTTTACGCAGAATCATACACTTTGAACATTGAAAAGTGTTGAAACAAATTCAAAAAAAAGTCAAAATCGTTTTAGATGTCGACGTTTTACACGCGTTATTATACCACAGAACATAAGTGGATCATTAGTAAAGAATGCATCATCTCTGGAAATCTTACCCTTTTTCATCCAACAAGTACCACCATTTAAATTTGTCCATGAATAATGAGTGCATTCCTGGGTTTGAGCACATATTTCAGGGCAACGATCTGATGAAATTGGGACATAATGAATCAAATCATTACCATGAAAATCACAAGACATGGCCCAATTCGATTCATTCCATATGATGGAGAAATTCATGATACCTTGCTTGGTACCATTTACAATACCACAGACCATGGTTGGATCACCAGTAAAGAATGCATCATCCCTGGAAACATCACCCATTTTCATCCAACAAGTGCCACCACCCCAATTCGACCACGTATAATGAGTGCATTGCTGGGTTTGAGCACATATTCCAGGACAAAGTGCCGGTGAAACTTTCATGTAAGACAGATCATTCCCATAGAAATCACAAGACATGGCCGAATTCGATTCATTCCATAGGATTGAAGGGTTCTTTAGGCTTGGCGGGACAGTGTCTCTAACACCACAGAGCATGATTGTATCATTAGTTAGGAATGCATCAGCCTTGGAGACATTACCCGTTTTCATCCAACAAGTACCATCATTCAACGTGGTCCACGTATAATGAGTGCATCCCTTCGTTTGAAGACATGAGGGACCGCACAGTTCTGCTGGAACTTCGACTTGAGACAGATTGTTCCCATGAAAATCACAGGCGCTAGCCCAATTCTGTCCATCCCAATCGATTATCTTGCCTAATATATGGAAAAAGCTTAAGAAGTATAAAGATATTTTCTTGAAGGAAAAATTATCATTATCTCTGTTTGTAAAAATAATCATATTTTGCAAATGGTTCTAGGATTCCTTCAATCGCTTGGAATAATAGAAAAATTGACTTTACCAGATGGAATTTGGTGAACTCTATCAAATAGTACAATCTATAGTTCTGAATTGTCAGCTTCACAAAGGCACGGAAACATCGATATCAGAGCACTTTGAAATTCGAATATGATATCGAGAATCACTCGTAATCATTTCGTTATGTTCTTTTCTACTACTCAAAAATCTCTTCTTATTGCTCTCGCAATCTCAGAAGGTATTTCTTCAATGCTTGATTATTTGTTCAGAAAATAGTCAAGGTACAATTCTTTATCATAAAGGATATAGTACTTTCGATTTCTATAGAAGTTCCTGCAATTTTTGTAGCACTGGCACGTTTTCATTTTGCTATATGCTTTGAACAAATGTCAGTTCATCAGAGTAAGAGCATTGGCTGCAGTTTTGTAGTAAAATCGTGTTTCAATACGAAATATACTTATTGAACACTTTTCTAATAATGTTTTCAACTGTACACTTTTTCAACACTGAACATTAGAGTGAGAATCAACTTTTTCAGTTATTAGATACTGTATTCAATTACGTCCCGAATACTATGAATGCTATTTAAAACAACTGGTATTTACAATCTCTTAACAGTCCATAACAAGAAAACGTAATAACCATGATTATGAACAGAGTTTTCTCATTATTTTCACATAAGTTATGAAAAGCATTTTTTTCCTACTGATTAAATTTGATACTTTGAAAGATACATGAAATGTTTCAGAATTTCATACTGTTTCTACAGCATAACCAAAATTAGACATATTAATGAAATTCAATAATCAATGAGTATCAGAATCTATCAAAAGTCACTCGTAATAAATAATATCTAATAGGAATCAATAACTGATACAAATATGAAGTAAAGTAAGTAGCAATAGTTAATCCAAATCTTAACATAATGTAATGGAAAGATAATAGTAATATGCTAGAGTCTCTGTCTTTATTGAAAAGCACTTCTTCAAATTCAAATTACTTGATTTTCTCACCGATATAAAGACTTTTGTAATTAATTATATACTTTTCAGCTTTTGAAATAGAAGAGACAGCTAAGCACGACTAACTATTACATAAATGGATAACAATGAATGAGTAGACATGAAAATGCAAGCGTATCACTCATTGAACATAAATATGGGTTAATCGATATAAGAATATGTGAATATGCGTGAATCACTCACGTTTAAACTGATGTTTTCAGACTTATTTGTATCTTTTCACACATTTAAAAAGCTCTCTGATCTATTTAAACACATACTTAAGTCTATAACAGTACTATTGATGTCTATTGATTCCCCATTCTAGTCTATTTATATTTGTTCATCAGTATTTATTTGTTATCACGCATATTTAAATGTATTCACAAATATGTGTAATCGGTAAAAGCTTCTGATAAACATTCAAATTTTGCTTTTTTTTACATTGAAACATACGAGAGATATTATTTTTTATCAACTGCTCTAAAGTTGAAAAGTTGGTACTCTGAGATACTCCACAAGGTAAGAACCTTTTTTAGATTTCATACGAATTTCGAAAGCTGAAATGGTTTTGATCTTGACTGTAGTTTTGTATTCCTCCTCTTCTGTCATAATGTCACACTTGGAAGTTGAATTCAATTTAAGCTTCAACTTTTAAATATCAATTCATCTTTCAAGTTTGATACTCCTAAACTCAATAAAAGGTGGTCAGAGAAATAGACGAAAAGTGCGACCACATTCATGAATTTTTCTCTATCAATAAGGGATTTCGCTTTTGTAAAATCAGACGCTGTCTTTAAACTGGATGAAACATTAAGGCTATATTTCTGTCTTGGTTAAAATTATACTATAGTTTTCGTTTATGAATCTTTTGCTACAAATGAGAACAACGTAGAAAGTAGACTTTTCGAAGAAGATAGTCAACTGCATGGGAACCACAATGTGTGTGATCTTTGAGAATTTATGTCAACAAAATGTTGATGTACGTGAAATCGGTGAATCACAGTTTTCAGAATGAATCGTGACTATATTTTTGATACAAAAGTATATTAAAAACTATACCTGACATTTTATTGCTATATTTTGTTTTGAGAACAGAGCCAAGAATGGCTGCCATGATGCACACCAATGCCAATATGCTCATTGGAATCAAAAACTTTTTCTGGATATACCAACGGCGACTTGACGATCTGATGAAAATTTACAATAACAATTCAGTTAGTTATATTCATCGAAAATCCACCAAGTTCTCAAGGAAACTATCTCAAAGTCGATCAATATTTATCTCGTTAAACTGAATTCATTCGATTTATTCTATTCGAAGCTATAACTAACAATGTTTGATCATGAACATAGAAAAATAAAACCTAACTCAAGGAATTGAATGATAAAGTTGTTTTGCTAAGCCAAAGAGGTTTTGATTACTTGACTTGTTATTTTTTTAGTTACTGATCTGGAAACCTTTGTGATTGCCTTCTCACTGTGATGGTCTACTTGGTTTTCAAATACTAGAGTATATAGTGTAGATCAGTAGCCAATATTTTTTGAAATCATGTTTTCGAAGCTACTTAGTGATATCAATTCTACTCTCAGGTTGCTAATAGTTTCTTTACAATAAACATGAGTTTTTTTAATTTTTTGCATAGTAATGTGATTTTCAGCATGTGTTGTAGTTAGTATGACAGTGAAAATTCATCATACTACTCACGAGGAAGCATACTAAGGTGTTCAAATCGTTTAGACCCTATCTTTTGGCCATAAGTAGACCTCAATAAGGTATGAAAAACTTAAAGAGGATTCATCACCTCGTGCCTTTGTTTCCGAGATATCGAATTATTAAGAAAATTTTCCCATAGGATTTCATATGTACAGCAAAATCGTATTATCGAACTTTGATCTGAGACTTTGCCTATATCAACTTCTCTAGTAGAGTTAGTTATGCACAAAATTTCAAAATCTTTTAGCGTAATCTTTAAGTGATATGCATTTCCCAAAATATATGCCTATTTCCACAGATATTGTAGAAAAGATGGATATTTTTGGAAAATGCATATCATTTAAAGACTACTTTAAAAAGTTCTGAAATTTTGTGCACAACCTACTTTACTTGAGAGGTTGATATAGGCAAAGTCTCAGGTCAAAGTTCGATAATACGATTTTGCTGCTGGAATCCTATGGGAAAAATTTCTTAATAATTCGATATCTCGGAAATGAAGGCACGAGATGATGAATCCTCTTTAGGTTTTTCATACCTTATTGAGGTCTACTTATGGCCAAAAGATTGGACGTAAACGGCTTGAACACCTCGGTATGTTTCCTCGTCAGTTATTCAAGCTTTTATAGAAAGAACACCTAGTACTCAACAAAAATCATCACGGTTCTTTCACCTATGAACTTGAAAAGACTTGATAAATTTGAAGAACGTGACAAAAGTGGTTCGGTTGCGGTCAAGAAAAGGAGTTTTCTTCCCATTCTTCATGATTGGCTTTTTGTTCCTTTTGTACTGGTTTTATTGTTGTAAACGTTAATAACTTGAAAATATTTTCATAAAAGGTGCGTCAGTATCAGAGATAATCTTTAATAAGAAAACCGTATAATTCTTTTTTTATGCGGAAAAATCTAGATTCTTGAGCCTTTGAGAGGATCTACTTGAAAATCAGTAAGTCAGGAAAAAGTTATCGAATAGTCTTTTGAAAATTTTTTACGATGTTGATTATAAATCTAGATTTTCTATTTCAATTTTCAATTAAAACTGAGATCTTTATTAGTAAGCTATATGCATGAAGCTTGAGTACATGAATAGACTCATACTACTGGTACAAAATGATCCGTATGGATGCTCATATATTCTTAAAGCAGTATAGTAAACCGTATAGTATGGTCTTCATATAAACCCATGGACCCTCGACAAGTGTACTCTGTTAGATGAAGCAAGATGCAGCAACATAAAGCTTACTCAATTTTTGGATAAAGGCACGCATCTGAGAACAGAAACAGTTCAATTCAAAATAAACTGTTGATAATGTTCAATTTACCTTCGAATGGAGGTTCTAGTAGTGGTTCCGTCGGTATCATTTGTTTTAAGTGAATGATATTCAGATCAGGTGCTGGATTTAATAGTGATTGTACTTCCATGAATGTTCCCGGCAACAGTAAAATTTCTTCTTCGTCGTCAAAATCTGAATGAGCGCTTATATTTCTACCATTTAACACTTCAATGGAAAATATGGTTCTCTCTCCTGTTGTACCCAAATAGAGATCGTTTTCTAACACGGCTAACGATTTTGTGGTGGATGAGAAAGCCCACCATGTAATTTGAGCTCCTTTCGGAAATTCATTGGTAGTGTTCTTTCGTAGACCACGCCATACGATCTGTGTTGTTGAACATGGTATTTTAGCCAAAGCAGTAAGAAAAAGTTTAAGATATTTTAGCCACGGTTGTAATTCCTCTTGATTACCTCTCCTAAGAGCATAGTTAAGATGAGAATAAAGACTTACGTCTGTAGCATCCCACTCTATTGTGTACAGATAAATTGAAGCTGATTCATCACGAGTCAGCTC